AATGATCATGATCAGGCCAAGTCCTGTAAACAACAGGTCTGAAAAAAGGAGCTGTCATATTAAAGCCACATCTCTTAATAAATAAGTCTAACTGGAGAAGGTGATGGGGGCCATGAGACCCTCACAGGGGATTTAACTCTCGCAGGCATCACAGTGGACCTGGGTCTGATTCTCTACAGCTGCTGACCTCCCGGTCTCTCGTAGCGTAGAGAAACAAAGATCTAGCAGCTCCTAGTGCTGTCTGCTGAGTTACACATCCCAGGGACCCGCCTCTCAAAGAAGTTGTAAGAAACATGAAATAAAGAAGCTAGGGACCCTCCACGCCATTCACAGTATAACTCCAGTCTTACAACTACCAGCTAGGAACCTCTACCAAACTCCTGGGACATATGAGGCTCTTGATCATCCCTGAAATACAGGCAGGTAGGCTGTACATATGGGGGCAGTAGGGGAAGGAAGGGAGTTGGTAGTCAGCCAGAACAGAAATCCTACCATTCTTTGCTAAATAAACCAGATGGAGAATATCCCATTTAGGCAAACAAGATGCACAATATCATATTAAGATCACTTTCTAAAATGAAAAGTAAATTAATAGGAACCAGAAGGTATTTTGACTTCAGTCTCCCTTCTAGCATGTTAAGCATACCCATATGCTCCCAGTCAGATGGCAAGGGTGATTTTTAGCTTATTTATAAAAAATGTAGAGAAGGGAATAAACAAAAGAAGCTTGCAATTTATGTTGGGAAACACTCTGTCAGTGGTCACCAACAAACACTGCCAGGTCTGCCTCAAATGCAGAGGTTACACCTCAGTATTTCAGCATTACCTCTAAAAAATAACTTTCATGCTTCAAACAGGGAGTCCAAGTTCTTAGTTACGTAAGGCCGCGGCTGCACTGCACAGTTAACCGACAACTAAGGTCTGAGCACGTGAATTAGCTTAGCCTGGCTCTGAGCATCCCTGGGTCTATGCCTGGGTTTGTGCTATCAGTTTCTGCACTCGCCCATACACTACAGGGAGCGCATCCTATGGGTGTCCTGTTACACTGAAGAATTTTCCCAGTTAAATGTAGAAGGCATTGTCCAAGCACCAGGAACGTGGTCAGGCTCTAACTCAGGGTTTGCTCTGCCTAATTACTGGTCTATTCTGCACACAAGTGGGTGCAAGTGAGTAGGGCTTATTTTCTTGGTGGGGGGTCCTGGAGTCAGGAGGGAGACCGTACAGACATGCCCTTCAACAAGAGTACTTTTATTTAACCTGTTTTTACATCTGTAAGTGGTGTTAATACAATTTACCACTCACTAGCTCTAGGATGTGGGCAGAAGTGGTCCATGTGCTGTGGTAGTGGGGAGCTGCAAAAGGCAAATACTGATTCTAACCCTTCTGAGGATGGAAGTGGGATGAACTGAGGGCCAAGCGCATCTTTGGGGAGGCAGTTAAATCCAATAATTTATTCAGTCAGGAGAGCTGACAGCTGGTGACAGGTACATTTTCAAAATAAAAAAAATTGACATCCTTGCTTTTCTAACTAAGATGTTATTTAAAAAATCAAGACAGTCCAATGGAAAGCTTTAAATAGTTCAAAGTCTTCAGAGCCTGTCTGGCACTCTGCTGTATCTCAATATTCATGGCTCCTGCCCCCCGCTCCTGGGCAGAGGGGTTGTGGTTGTTTAAGCTGTTAAAAAAAAACTACACATCATCTGTTACAAAGCGAAGAACACCTCTGTCTTCAACATACAGTGTCTAGGTGGGCAACAGTGAGTCACGCAACAATATCTCTGCTCTATTCCTGGCTCTGTCAATGATTTACTGTCACAGACCTTACAAACACACAAGCTACCTCTCACACTGGGCACTATGACAGCTGGTTAGTTTGCCAGACTATCACTGTCTACTTTCATGGTACCACGGTCCTCTTCAAGCAATTTAGAGAAGAATGAATGCAAACCACCTGGCCCTGGCCATCTCTGCATGCCATCAGCATCATCTGCATGCAGTAGCTGCTAAAGGCCTAAGGGCATTTTCAGTTCAGACCCTCTAAAGATATTTGATGACTGGTGAAATGGAACGTGAGAACGGAGATGGGAAAACGGGGTGGGGGGGAGAGGGCGAAAAAACAGGGATCGAGATTTAGCCAATTCAGCTAAGAATGCAGGATGTTTTGCTTATAGGGTCATAGGAAAATAAGGCTGGAAAGGCTCACAGGATCATCTAGTCCAGCTCTCTGCTCAAGGCAGGATAATCCCTAACTAGAGACCATCCCAGCCAAGCGTCTGTCTAATCTGCTCTTGAAAATTTCCAAGGCTGGAAATTCCACAAGCTGTCTAGGCAGCCTGTTCCAATGCTTGACCACGCTCACAGCCAGAAAGTTCCTCTTCATTTCCAACCTAAATGTTCTCGCCTGCAGCTTGAGGCTATTGCTCCTAGTCCTGTCTCCTATAGCCAGAGAGAAAAGCCCCTCTCCATCTTGTGTGTCATAGCCCTTCAGGTATCGAAAGGCTGTTATCAAACCCCCCCTCAGTCTTCCCTCTACAGACTAAATAATCCTAGTTCTTGCAACCTTTCCTTACAAGTCATGTTTCCCAGGCCCCTAATCATTTTTGCTGCTCTGTGCAGGGCTCTTCGAAGTGTCCACATCCTTCTTGAAGTACTCCAGGTAAAGCCTCAGCAGTGCTGAATCAGGCAGGAGAATCACATCCCTTGTTTTGGGAACACTCCTGTTAATACAACCCAGGATGCTGTTGGACTCTTTTGCAACAAGAGCACACTGTGGGCTCACATTCAGCTTATGGTTTGCTGTAACCCCCACTTGATACCTCCTCCCAACTAAACACTGAACCATTGGTTACTACTCATTGAGCATGATAATCCAACTAGCTATGTATTCACCTTGCACTACAACTTTGGATAATCTGGAGTCTTTTCAAAATTCTATGGCATCCAAACCAAACAGACAGACAGGCACACAAATAGATTTTTAATAACACTGAATGAAAATTTAGGTATCCCCTGCAGTAAGAAATCCAGTGTAGTAAATCTCCAACAGCTTGAATCTAGTGCTCTTAACATGGCAAAGTTAAAGTACTGCCTTATAATATTTTGGCTTTGATGTCTTGATTGCTAGGAGTCCGATCTTGGAATCCCTCTTCTATGAAGAGAGGCCCCGCTGAAGTCAAAGGGAGTTCCTGGAACTGCTGTGCCTTCACATGGGATATTTCAAAAGCTGTATTTATAATGCCTCTTGTTATACAAGAGCTGCTTCAACAATTTTAGAGCATCTCTTCTGAGCTGCAATCTCAAATGTCAAAGGATCAACTAATGAGGGGTATATAGCCTGGATATCAGCACAGCACAATTAACAAAGGAGGAAGTGGAGAAAAATATTTTGGTACACAGAAGCCTCTCAGCTATAAAATAAAAGAGGATGAATTAAAACTGAAAGGAAAAAATGAAAACAAATTTTGTTGCAAAAAACTTCTGGTTTTAATTTTCTTTTCCACGGGAAGAGCAATTTTGCAGCAGTTTTGATATGGGGTAAATGAGAAAAAAACCCTCACATCATTGTAGTTCAAGCTAGACAGTCGCATGCATTTTCCACATTATGCAGCATGCAACATGGCACAAACGCAGAATACCTCGAATGCTGCAGTCCGAGACTGAAGTTAAACAGCAGAGACTGAGCTGGGGAAGCCACACCTGCTTCCTATAACACTGCCTCTGGCCTCATTTTTATAAGCATGTTTGCAAGCTCTCCCACAAAATGTAAATATATTTTAAAAATCCCTAACCAGGTCTCTAAACACCCTTGAGTATTATTTGAATCCTCTATACCCACTTATATTTCCACAAATTGAAAGAGAATGATGGACTTTAAATGCAGTGAATTAACACCAAAATTCCTAAAATATGGATGCTAACATAAAAATACCAGTATATTATCTCAATTAGTGGGACTAGTCTACAAAACACCTATTTCAGTAAGTCTAACTGTTTGGCAGTGAACTATGGCAGAGATGGTAAAAAAAATAAAACTATTCCATTTGAATTACTGTGAGTATATCAAGTGGTGGAGATCAAAATATTGAACAGATTTAAAGGTATGAGAGAGATTTTCTAGCAGAGAACTGCATTCAAGTCCTTCATATATGAACATTAGAAGTCAAGACTATATTTCACAGAAACTGCTTAATAATTGATTCCCATTCCTCCCTAATTCCACATTTTACAAGTCCTCAGTATCATAGTAGCCTGTCTAAGTAGAGCCTCAGATGAGGGACTGACATGGCTCCCTGCACAGACTATCAAATTCATGTTCAACAATAACCAATATGGGTTTTCCCAAGAATGGCACAGGTGGATCCCTCCCCACAAAAAAGCAATAGAAGCTGCCTCTAAAATTTTTGGTTATATTCTTTTTAATGGTTCCCCTGAAGAGGTCCAGAATGCTGGAGGCTAATGCTCTTGTAGGCAAAAGCAGTACACGTATAGAGAGGCTTTAGGGAGGTGGGCAGCTGCTTGGCTGCTCCTAAGATGCCTAAGAAACTCTCCTTCAGCTCTTAATAGTCTAATAATGGTGGGAAAACAGAAAAGTTACTGGTTAAGATCCTTGCTGCTTTGAGAGAGAAAGCAAGCTCTTGTGGTGGGTCCCTGCAGAGGGGTAGAGTAAAGAGGAGCAAAGAAGGATTCAACAGCTTGGGAAATTCCTTATCAGCGAGGTCCCCAGATCCCATGGATTCTGTCAAATACGGACCGATTCTAGCCTGGTTTTCCTCAAGCCCCAAGAAATGAGGGTGGGGAGAAGAGTGGGGCGGCTCCCAGAATTTCCACTCCTTCCTATCCTCATAGTAAAGATTGGGTAGCTCAATGTTAATAGACTCTAAAAATACCTAGCAAAGGAAAGGAGTATAAACGATCAGCATTTAACACCTCTCAAAATCCCAGAGAGCTAAGAAGGTTCTCAGGAGACTCCTTGTAACCAATTAATTGAAACTATTACTTACCAGGTCTATATTTTGCATTACATCTTGGAAGGAAGGGTGAGTTCGAAACTGCTCAAAGAGATCCCTCTTGTAAAGCAGTGCATATACCAAATTGGGATTGTGATGGAGAGAGTTGGCCAGGCAGGAGTTGATAATCTCAAGCATCATTCGGATCACTTCTTCAATCACATTCAGATCCTGTGCCTTTAAGAAAGAAAAAAAGAGAGAGAGATCACCATGCCTTTTTCCATTCTAAAATATATTAGGTTAAAGACACTGCACAGGTATCATTACTGAGAGAGCTTTCATCTGGCTGATGTCTGATCAGTGGTGAATAAATCTTGAATTCTTGTCTGTATATATATACCCTCTGAATTGCTGTGAGTATATATATGTCTTAATACATGCATTTTTGTAATAAAATCCAGATCTGCAACAGAATTCCAACAGACTCCAGGATTCTACTTAACAACATGTGTTCAAAACCAAGAAACGAACACAAATTGTGCATGTTCCTGGCTCCAAAATGTTTTACCTACAGATACTGCAGAGTTAAATTCACTACGGTTTTGTGACCATCACTCCTAAGAGCTGGTGCAGGTAAAAGCAGTTCATTCCAAGTACACTGCATTATATTTCCTGTTCATCATATTTAAAAAAAAAAAAAAAAAAAAAGTGTGTTGGAGGGCAGGAAAGATGTCAGTAAGGAATAAAATTAAGAATATGAAGGAGAAAAAGAAACAAACAAGCAGGCTGATTGTCTGGACAAGAACACACTTATCCTCCAAATGTTACTGTCCTTATGGTAAAGAGGAGCACTCCAGGCTCCCACAGCTAGAACGCAGATGACTGACGAAGAAGATTGCTTTTGAGAGTGCTCTACAACCTTCATGCTCTAGGTTAAATGGTACATCTCGTGGCCTACGCAAGCGCTGCTGCCCAGCGATGCATGGCTCCACCCTGTTTCGGGAGCTGCATGTGGTAGCAAGGAGTGGAGTCAGGCCGGCCCACCTCTATTGCATGGGGCTCCCCGCGACACACGTCCAGCTTCCGGTATTTGTGCACCACCGGGGGGAACCCCCGTGCAATGGAGCTGGTGGCCTAGCCCCACTCCCTACTGCCATGTGCAGCTCATGGGACTCCACTGGAAGTGACAGGGAGCCCTACTCCCTGCTTCCTGGAAAGGGATGTATGCCATGGGGGGAGGGGAGTGTGTGTGGAGGGTCTCCACACGCCACCTCCCCACACCCTATCCACCCAAGCTCTGTACTCCTGCCACCCCCCGGGCATGGGCCCTGGGCTTTGTGCTCCCACCCACCCAAGCCCCATGCTCCCACCCATCTGCAGCTTCCCTTCCCCCCACCCTGTTTCCCTACCTGCTGCCCGGAGCAAGCGCTGCAGCAGGGACAGAAGAGCAGTCGCTGGAGGCCAGGGAAGCCAAGCAGGTCCCCCAGCAGCTGCAGCAGTGGAAGCTGTGCATGCTGGGTGGGCTGGAGCCCTCCCATGCACAAGGGTGGGAGCCAGGCACATAGGCTGGGTGGGGTACAATTAATTAGTGGGCACCCGCAGGCCAGATGAAATCACCTGGCAGGCTGAATCCAGCCTGCAAGCTGTATTTTACCCACCTCTGCCTTAGCCCCACACCAACACTAGGATTCAACATGGACAGACATCACCTTTATAAGAAAAACAAATCTGTTCTATTACCTGCAACATGACCAGACACATCTATCTGGCCATATTAAGTCTTTCTAATAAAAAATGCTCCCATTAAAAAGAGGAAATAAAAGCTAGTTTAAACAAAAAGATGTCTCTAATATATCTATATATAGTAGCATGACATTTCCTGAAAAAAAAATGCTGCTAAGCAAACAGCATCAAATATCTAAAAGATCCACAGTGTAACTTGTCATTAACGCCTAGGGATATTTTATTATTTTATAAATGATATCCCAGCTCTTTACCTCATTTTATTTTCGCCAACCATGTTCATGTTGGGATGAAATAATTAATCTGTCATACTTCAGATTTCTTCCTGCAGATTACTATATACAGGACAGCATTCACTCATAAAGCTCATTCTGCATATTTAATAAACATAGGGCTAATACATCCATTACTTCACATATACTGCTAGTAAAGCCTCCTGTAATTTCTGTTCACAGTTTTCAAAGTAGTTTAAATCTTAAGCTTCCAAACAGAGATAAAAAAAAAATAAGCTGAAAGCCAAGGACAGCGTGTAGATGAGAGAATGGAGAAATGCTGTCAGAGACGATAAAATATTGCTCTTTTGTTGCTTTGCATCACCACTATCGAACTAAGGCACCTCTGCATCGAGACGTGGCGTCAAGACAGATATAAACGAGGTTATAAAAACATTTCATAGTTTAAGAGAAAAGTTTATCATCATTTGTAATAACTTTTGAACCAGTTTTAACACACCTAAAATGCAGAGCGCATACATCCAGGACAACAAGTGGAAGCAAAATTATCTAAGCTTTTTCATACTAATGATGAATCCAAACAAGAGACAATAGTTGACACTAATGAGACTTTCACAGCTCTTCCCAGCTGGAGTATAATTCACCAATTTTGCAAGTTCTTCAGCATTCAATTTTTTCTAAAACTATTTGAGTGCTATTTACTCACTACAAGACCCGTATCAGCAATGTCTCACCAAGACCATGACCCTTGCTTGTACTGCCAAAATAGAGGACACGTTAGATTTATGCCAGGCCTTTCATATCAAAGGATCAGAAATATTGTTGGATTTTATTTTGAAACAATATTAAGCATAAAGAAATTACTCCCTCCATCATTGATGGAATGTGCAATGGTTGAAAAAGGAACAATAGTTGCTTCATATCTGTTTGTAACAGGAATTTGGATACTGGAAGTGGGAGAACTTCTAAAATGTTGACACCCTAGAACTTGCTGTCAACATTTGGCAGAGCCCACATAATGGTAACTTTAGGTAACAACATTTCTCTTTCTTTTCAGGACAGGAACTAACAGTGATAACTAGCTTGGCAAATATTTGCTTTATATATACATATATATGTGTGCAGCTCCATTCTTGGCTATGGCCATGCTGCAATTTGGGCAGTAATATGCAGAAATGGCTAAAAGATAAGCCTTGTGCTCCTCTAATCCTGATGTTGCTCTGAGTCACTTGTTCCTCTTATGCTGAAAGAGAGCAAGTAAGTGAGAGAGTCGCCTAGAGAACAGAATGAAAACAGAGACAACCGCACACAAAGCACAAGACCGACATGCAGAAATCAGATGGCAACTGTACAAACACTGAAGCTGGTTACATAAGCATTCAGAAAAGATACAAATGCCGGTGCAATGGTTTGACATATGTCCAAGTCTCTGTTCATCCTAAATCACTGCTGCTCTCCTTATTTCTTAAATGCAATATGTTTTAGAAATTCCAACACAACATTTCAGGCACTGCATTTCAGAGAATTCAATGCAATGCTTGGGTGCTAAGAGTCACTCCGTCTAGTGCTGTTTCTTAAATCACCAGTTGTGGCATAATTATTAGGAGTGAACTGCTTGTGTAATCGCTTAGCACAGCATTAGTACAGGCCCTAAATATATAAGCCTGAGTGTCAAAGGTTAGGCTGCTTAGATCCACTGTAGACATCTAAATAAAAGTAGCCTTATTTACCATCAGTGGGAGAAACAAGTGCTCAATGCCTTTGAAATCTTGGTCACATTTAGTTACGTGCCTAATGTTTTTGTTCCTAAGTACCTAATGGTTTGAATATTCTATCCAGAAGGTTAACTGGAAGGTTTTGGTTTTATAATCAGATCAAAATTTCCTTAAAAATACTAGGAGAGTGCTAGAAAATCCCCAGCTTCTAAATTTTAATGATTCCAAAGCCCAGTTTTGAGGAATAAAGTGTCTCCCAATGCTGATCCAGGCATATTTTGCAGTGTGCTTTTTAAAAAATTCCTACTACTTCAATCTATCCAGCAGTCAACAGGAACCAAGACAAATTGCTTTGTTTCTTGGTTCCTTTCATACTTTCTTAATTCACACAGGATATTTTAGAGTCACATAAAATCAGGATTTCAGTTATTTATGAGTATACACTCCCTTATATAAGGAGATGCTAACTTGATTAATCTACGTTCCAAGCTAAGCATTAAACTTGTACAAGGCTTCAGAAATGTTATGTGAGAGTGGGGTGTTGTTTTAAGAATACAGGAAACGTATAGGAAACCATTTTTTTCCACAGTGTCAAGACATTTTTATTTTTGTTACCTTCTGCAGCCCATAAAGATGCATTCATTCTTTAAAGTCAACTCAGGTGTTACCTGTAACTTTCCCACCCACACACACAAACCTCTCACCCCAGTTTCCTACAGCTTTCAACATACCATCTGGGGGAGACGGACTAAAGCTCAAGTGCTGCTCTTAGCCTGTCTGCTTTGCAATGGAAATGTGGGCTAAATTGCTTAAGTCCTCTAATGGCTTCCCATAATTCCCTCTGTATTCCCAGAACAGACAAATTCTCCCACAATTCACAGGGAAGAAATTACAGAGCAGTTCAGCTTACCGCAGTGTTAAGAACAACACAGTGTGATCGCAGCATCCCTAGACCTCCCGTGAATGTGCAAGTCCCCACATGAATGGATATGGGTGAGGTGGATACACCCAATTTTAGCTGTTCAGTCAGTACTCAACACCTAAACTAAGCCATGTAGGTTTTCACACTGAAGGGCCAATCACTAAAGTAAACTCTGCAGTACAGACAGACTCTAATAATTCAACATAGGAAATGTTCCTCAGTGTTTATTTTACAATTGGGGACCGAACAATTGCATCTTACTCTACCCTAGAAACTACTAAGTAAGATTGGCGTAAATGTGTATTTTATTTTTCTAACAACCAGAATTGAGAAAGATATATGAAGTATTTTCATTACTGATATGAAAACCCAATGGTGATAGACAATGGGAAGTCAGTAGTGAATAGCAGAAAAATGTATGAAATGCTCAAACTAATCATGTGATTTTTTTTTGGTAAACTTACTGATAATCAGAAGTATCCAATAAACCAGCCTCTCTCTTCTATTGAGGCCCACTTTAACTGTGCTATATATACACCTATTATAACATACAAGTACAAATATATGCATGCTCCTCTAACTACTAAGCTCTTACATAGACACGTATATACTACTTCAAGGCAC